ATATACACACACACACAATGGAATATTACTCAGCCACAAAAAGAAATGAAGTACTACAATGCAAGCTACAGTGTGGATGAGACTCAAGCATTATGCTAAGTGTCCAAAGAAGCCAGTCACAAAAGGCCACATCTTGCTTGATTTCATTTATACAAAATATCCAAGACAAGTAAATCCATAAAAACAAAATACAGATTGGTGATTATCTGGAGCTGCAGAGATAGAATGGAGTGACTGCTTAAGGGTCATGGGGTTTTCTTCAGGACAATGAAAGCATCTGGAACTTAACACCAGCGGTGGTTGCACAACATTGTGGATGTATTAAAGGTCACTGAATTGTTTGCTTTAAAACAGTTCATTCAGTTTATGTGAATTTCCCCTCATTAAACAAAAGACAGAGAGCTGGTGACTTCAACTTCCAGTCAAGGTGGAATACGGGGAACTAGACTCACCCTCCTACCTGAAACAAGCAGAAAGAAACAAAAAATGGTTTTGAAGATACCAGATGTCCATTAACAAAGAACAGCGATTCCCTGAGGGATGGAAAACTAGTGAGATGAGGCTTGTAACAACCCCACTCATTGCCCTGAGACAGTTTCCAGACCTCACTCAGCACAGGGAAGGGGAGACGTCCTCAGTTGAGAGGCAGGGGGCAGAACCAAGGCATCTGGAGCTCACAGGATGGAATGCAAAAGAGAATTCTGCACACAGAAAGAAGTTCAAACACCTGCAAAGCGTTCCCCTTGGGTATTCAATTGAGCACTATAAAGTGTGTACATGTGGAGAAACTATCCAAGGCCAGGAAAAGAACCACCCAGAAGATTAGAGGTACAAGGGCCCTGTTCTCACCAGCCACACCAAAAAGCCTCAAGCTTCAAGGGACATCAGTGGAGTACAACAAAGTGTTCTTACCCTAGTGAGGGGGAACAATTAGACTGCCAGAGCATTGTTCTCATTCTGACAAATCTTTTTTTTTTTTATTTTTATTTTTTATTTTTTTTTTCAATGTTTTTTATTTATTTTTGGGACAGAGAGAGACAGAGCATGAACGGGGGAGGGGCAGAGAGAGAGGGAGACACAGAATCGGAAAGAGGCTCCAGGCTCCGAGCCATCAGCCCAGAGCCCGACGCGGGGCTCGAACTCACGGACCACGAGATCGTGACCTGGCTGAAGTCGGACGCTTAACCGACTGCGCCACCCAGGCGCCCCCTGACAAATCTTAACAGCAAGAGCTGAAAGAATCAAACTGCCTCTGGATAACCTATTTCTCAGAACAGAGTTCCAGAATATTTATAGGAATACAAAATATCCAGCACTCAGTGAGGCATCTAATCAAAAATTACTAGGCATGGAAAAAAGAGGAAGGACCATAACGAGGAGATAAGTTAATCAGCTGCAACTAATCCAAATAGTAGAATCAGACAACAATGATATAAAAACTATTTTTTTTATATTTAAAAGGAGAACTATCATCTTTAAGAGCCGCTGCTTTTACTTTTCTTTCATTTTATTTATTTGTTTTAGAGAGAGTGGTGGGGGAGGAGCAGAAAGAGAAAGTTTGTTTTTTTAATTTTTTTAATGTTTATTTATTTTTGAGAGACAGAGAGTGAGCGGCAGATGGGCAGAGAGAGAGGGAAACACAGAATCCGAAGCAGGCTCCAGGCTCCGAGCTATCAGCACAGAGCCCCTGACACAGCGCTGGAACCCACGAACTGCAAGATCATGACCTGAGCCAAAGTCAGATGCTCAACCAACTGAGCCACCCAGGTACCCCTAGAGAGAATCTTAATCTTAAGCAGGCTCTACACAGAGCATGGAGCCCGACAAGGGGATTGATCCCACGACCCTGGGATCATGACCTGAGCTGAATCAAGAGTCGGACACGCAACCAAGTCGCCCAGGTGTCCTAAAAACTATTTTTAAACTGTATTCCAGATTTCAAAAGGTTAGAAAGATTTAAGTTAAAAAAAAAAAAAAAGCTCAAATACAACTTCTAGAAATACAACTATAATGTATGAAATGCAAAATATATTGTATGGGGCTCAAGGCAGGTTAGACATTGAAAAAGAAAATCTTAGTGAACTTGTAGACACAGCCAACAGAAACTATCCGACTGAGACAGAAAGAAAACAAAATTAAAAAAAAATAAGCAGAGCATTAGTGAGCTGTGACAGCAATCAATGCAAACAGCTTAATACAGGTTTAAGTGGGATCTCCACAGGAGATGAGGGAGGTAGGACAGGAAAAACACTGATGAAATAATGGTTAAAAAAAAAAAAAATCTTACTAATTTGATAGGAAAGACAAACCCACAAATCCAAGTTCAACACTTCCCAAGCAAAACAAACATGAGGAAAAATACAGCAGGATGCAGCACTACAACCAAATGGCTAAAAACCAGTAATGAAGGAAAAAAAGACATGTTTTATAAAGATGACAGATTTTCCATCAGAAACAGAGCAAGCAGACAGAAGAGGAACATTTTTTTTTTTTTTTTTTTTCCCCAACGTTTATTTATTTTTGGGACAGAGAGAGACAGAGCATGAACGGGGGAGGGGCAGAGAGAGAGGGAGACACAGAATTGGAAACAGGCTCCAGGCTCCGAGCCATCAGCCCAGAGCCCGACGCGGGGCTCGAACCCACGGACCGCGAGATCGTGACCCGGCTGAAGTCGGACGCCCAACCAACTGTGCCACCCAGGCGCCCCGAGGAACATCTTTAAAGTACGGAAAGTGTTAACCTGGGAATTTATACCCAGCAAAGTATCTTTCACAAATGAAGGCAAACTAAAGACTCTCTCAAACATACAAATGCTGAAAGAATTTATCCCCAGCAGACCCATACTAAAATAAAAGTCCTTTGGGCAGAAGAAGAGTGATGCTGAATAGAAATACAGATCTACACAAAGAAATGTAGGGCAAATGCCCACTGGAGCCACACAAGATGATACAGAAGGGTGGGGGCAAAGGTGTTCAGCTGAAACCTCCTCTAAAGGAGACAGCTGCTATTTGGCTATATAATGTGTTACCAGATCCTCCAAAAAGGGAGATGCTGAATATGAAATTTTCCAAATTTAAATTCAAGTCCAAGCAAAGCACGTCGTTAGCCTAAGAAAAGCCAAAGTGCTGTGAGGTTAAAATATAGTCAAGTCCTATTCTAGGAAGAATACAGAAAACTTTAGCCCTTCCTATATACTTGGTAACTCTCCCAAGTTACAATCTTGGCTCATTAATGGTGGTGTATAGTTGTAGACAGGGTAAAACTTCACAAGTCTTTCACCCCTAAACTGTGGACTGGTGGCAGGCAAGGTCCACAGGCTGGGACCCATCTCAGGATCCCTGCTACCCAGTGTATCTGAGAGCCTCACATCAAGCTCAATAATTTTGGTCGTGGACTCTAATGTTTCAAGGCTACCACTTTCCTACATTTCCACAGAAGAAGACACAAAACTCTTTTCCTGTACAAGTAGAAGGATAAAACTGCAAATGGCTCCCTATGACCCAGAGAACACAACTTAAGACCTATAATCTGGCATTCAAGGCCTTCTTACTATCCAATGTGTCCATCTTCGGGACTTCCCTCTCTGGATGCTCACCCTTGGCCTTGGCCTGTGATACCCATTCCCTTTCTTTTAGCAGACTCTTCGAGGCCCAGGTCAACAATCAGCAACTTCTTCTCTGCCTCAGTCCTCAGGAAAAACTCAAAACCTCTACTTTCAATCATCCACTTAGCACACCATATCAGCTGTCTACACCGTGATTCCTCCCCAACACCCTGAGGATGTCCTGATGGCAAAAACATTGGTTCACACTAGGGACCATGACTGGCACAGGATGAGATGTTCAGTGAACATTTAATAAGTACATTAATGTGTATGTCACTTTATCTCTTCCCCTTAACCAGTGAGACTCCTGGCAGAGGTCGGCCTGGTGTCTCGGGACCTTCTGCCTACCTGTCATAATAATCTCTGTGTCCCCTGTGGTCTCGGTCGCTACTGTACTGGTCATAAGGTCTTTTTCTGGACAGATTGTTGGGTCTGTAGCTCCCAGAGCGGTGGGCGTCCATGTGTCGCCGGTCCCCATAATGGTGGTCCTTGTACCAGTGCTGCTCATACTGGTGGTGCCGGTCACTACCCCACGGAGGATTGCTGTTGCCACCACCATAGTTGAACTTTCTTTCCCTCTGCCAGTCTCCTCGATCTGCAGGAAAAGAAAGAACAGTTTCATGACTTCAAAAAATGGCTGAATTTCACATCCACTGAAGTTTAAACTCAAAGGCTGACACGTTATATAAATAGACATTAAATTTCCTCCTTCCTAGCCTTTTTGCTGCTGGTAAACATACCAGTAATGAGTCCCAACCTTCTCTCCCTCAACTTTTAAGGCAAAAGAAAACTGACTGCTTTTCTCCTTATGAAATCATAAAAATTACTGCTTTTTCTTTTCCATGCCTCTTTACCCTCCAATCTGGGGCAGACCCTTAAAATCAGATTTCACTCAAAAAAAAACCCCAGAAACAAAAAACAAAAAAAAACCCTAAACATTAATTCAGAAAACAGAACTGCTGAGATTCATAGCCATAAAGTGGTATCTTCTGTTTACACATCTCAACTTTATTTACCCACTGCTACAGATAACATGGTCAGCCAGTGCCTGGTCTCTGAAAATATTTCCAGGCTATTCATACTGATTCTACTACTACTCTTTCCCAGCCCACATCAAGGAGATAAACCTCCTCCTATAAAAAGTGAATCCTCTAACGTTGGATTTGGATCAATACACTAACTCTCAAAGGTAGGGCCAAACTGATATCTGTTTCAGCTTCTATAGCCTCCCTTTTCCTTCAGAAGAATCACACTTATTTTAATCAGAAAGGCAGTATACACATAAAAGTCCAGGAACGGAGGCTATAGTGGGTTTAAGTGTGACCCCCAAAATGTATGTCCACTCAGAATCTGTAAGTGACTTTACTGGGAGACTGGGTCTTTGCATATGTAATTAAGGATTTTGAGATGAGATCATCTCAGATTTAGGTTGGGCCCTAACTCCAATGACAGATATTCTTCTAAGAGAAAGGCAGAGGGAGGTCTGAGACAAGGAGACACTAGAGATGGAGGCAGAGATGGGAAGAACGCAACCAGAAGTCAAGTAGCAACGAGGGTTGCCGGTGGCCACTACAAGCCAGGAGAGAGGCAGGGACCAGATCCTCCCCCACATCTCCCAGAGAGAGACAACCCGACCGACACTCAGTGCAGACTTCTGGCCTCCAAAAGTGTATAAAAATACATTTCCCAGTTTGTGGCGCCTTAGGAAACTGGGACACAGGCTTACCCAGAAGAACTACGTGGCCTCATGGGAAATTCGTCTTCTATCTACAACTATATTAACACCAAAAATAAGCCACCAAGTAGATACCCCTCTACTCATGCTGCCGGTCTTCTAAATACTTTTCTATAGAGCCAAAGAATAATGAAGGAACCTGACAGCTTAGGAACTGATAACACACTCAGCCAGTGGCTTAAATTCCCTGCTGCTCTGGTTGTGGATCAGGCCAGAGGACCAAGAAGTAAAAAAACTTTAACTATTCAACCTAATAACTTAACAGACAACAACAAAAAGAGACACCTTCACAACATGAAAACCAATCACTTGGCGATGGCTTCAAATGGAAAGTAGTATTTCAAATGGGGTGTCAGTGTCTGCGGTATCATGGAGAGGCTTACAAATCAAGCCAACTCATTTATTTCCAGAGGAACTGAACAGTGCTTTTCTTTCTTCTTGAACCCATCATGAGGTAGGTCGCTGTTAGGAAGTACTGAGCTATTTAGCAGATGGGTGAAGAATCCAAGACTTAAATAAAAGACTACAGTGATATAAGAAGAGTTCTTTCAAAGGATCAGAATACAAAATCAGTGACATCACACGAATAACACAAAACCAGTCTGATCCCAGGAAGAAGTCAATACAGATAATACAATCAGATCTATGAACATGGATATATCTCGCTCGCTCTCCCTCTCACTCTCATTCTCCCTCTCTCTCTCTTCCTCTCAAGAGGAATTACTCTTGTAGAGTAATTACCTTTTGTCCCCCTGCATCAAATGGGGATCAATTAACTCAGAACTACTTAGATTTGTAACATTAGAAGACCTGGCACTTGTGCTTCCAGGCAATTCAGGGTAGCTTACAGCAGAATTACGCTCCGCCAAGGACAGTAAGAAAGGCCAGATAAACAAAAATTACCTGTTTGAGGACATCAAAGAGTAGACAGGGCATTCAGGACTAGACTAGAAGGCATTAAGACTGAAGAGCAGAAAACCTTAGAGAGGTAAGGTGACCGCTGTAATCATTGGGGAGGCCTGTGATTCTGAGCAGAGGCAAGGAGCTGAACATCTGAGCTTTTACCAGCACAAGCTGAGCCTTCGGTGGTCTTTCTAGGCTAGAGGGACATGGCAGACTTGAAGGGCTCAAACACACATCCAGTCTTCCCTTAAGATAAGTGCTGAATCTGCAGGGAGCAGAAGGCTGAAGACCTAAGCCTCAGAAGAGCAGAGCAGTCCAGGTAGTCTCATGGTGCTGAGAAAACCAAGATTCGAGTCTAGGGCCTGCAGAAGATGAGGGGCAGAAAATGCTCCAGGCCCTCTGCTGAGCACTCTGAAGAGCTAAGCCCCAGGAACAGGGGAGCCCAGAGGCAGACTAGACGACTAGACCAGAATGATCGCCTTACACTCCATGTGCCCTTGGGGAGGAAAGAATGAATCCTCTCTAGGAAAGCAACACCACCTGAAGCTTCCATAATTTTTTTTTCAAGTAGGCTCCACACCCTGCATGGAGCCTGGCATGGTGCTTGAACTTACGACGCTGAGATCAGACCTGAACCGAGATCAAGAATTGGATGCTTGACTGACTGAGCCACCCAGGTGCTCCTGGAGCTTCCACAATTTTTAAAACATGGGTTCCCCCACTTAATCAAAAATAACTAGGCATGCCAAAGACAGAACTATATGGATGAAAACCAAGAAAAATAAAACACACAACAGAAAATGATTCACAAGAATTAAGATACTGGACTTAGCAAAGATTTTTAAATAACTGTTAATTCATATGCTCAAAAACAGAGGAAAAGATGAAGAAAATCAAGTTTTCTAAAAGCTTGAGAATTTTACCAGAAGAATGAAATGTATTTTTCAAAAGAAATCAAATGGAAATCCTAAAACTGAAGTTTAGAAAGAAATGTACACTTCATTAAGATTATTATGGAATATTTGATTCTTTGCAAAATCCTATACTAGGACTTCTATGTATGCTATATATAGTGTGTGTTTTCACAACTTTCTCGATACTAATTCAAACACAGTATTGTTCTCAATAAGCATTCAAAACAGTATTCAAACATACACTACAGAAAACGTTTGATGGTTCCTCAAAAAATTAAATTAGAATTACCACATAACCCAGCAATTCCCCTACTAGGTATATACCCAAAAGAACTGAAAATAGGTACTCAAAAGTAACTTACACACAGATTTTCACAGCAGTACTATTCACAATAGCCAAAAAGTAGAAACAACCCCAACAGATGAATGGATAACAGACTGTGGTGTGTACCCACACAATGTGAGGTTATTCAGCCACAGGAAGGAGTGAGGTACTGATACCCATTACAACACAGACAGACCTACAAAACCACATTGAGATACCACCTCACGCCTGTCACAATGGCTAAAATTAGCAACTCAAGAAACAACACATGTTGGCGAGGATGTGGAGTAAGGGGAATCCTCTTGCACTGTTGGTGAGAATGCAAACTGGTGCAGCCACCCTGGAAAAGTGTGGAGGTTCCTCAAAAGCTTAACAATAGAACTACTCTATGACCCAGCAATTGCACTACTAGGAATTTATCCAAAGGATACAGGTGTCATTTGAAGGGGCACATGCACCCCAATGTTTATAGCAGTGCTTTCAACAATAGTCAAATTATGGAAAGAGCGCAAATGTCCATTGACTGATGAGTGGATAAAGAAGATGTGGTACATATATTCACAATGGAATACTACTCGATGATGAAAAAGAATGAAATCTTGCCATCTGCAACAACATGGATGGAACTGGAGGGTTTTATGCTAAGCAAAATAAGTCAGAGAAAGATACATATCATGTGATATCACTCATATATGGAATTTGAGAAACTTAACAGATGACCATAGGGAAAGGGAAAGAGAAATAAGAACAGAGAGGGAAGCAAACCATATAAATACAGAGAACAAAACTGGAGGGTTGACAAGTAGGGGGGCATGGGGAAAATGGGTGATGGGCATTGAGGAGGGCACTTGTTGGAACGAGCACTGGGTGTCATATGTAAGAGATGAATCACAGAAATCTACTCCTGAAGACAAGACTACACTGTGTGTTAACTAACTTGAGAATAAACTAAAAAAAAAAAAAAAAAAAATTACATTAAGAATAATGAACTATTAAAAAAAAACAACATACAAAACAGCCAAAACAAATAATCCAGTGAAGAAATGGGCAAAGACATGAATAGACACTTCTCCAAAGAAGACATCCAGATGGCCAACCAAATAGAAAAATGCTCCTCCTCTTCCCTCCATCACTCATCATCAGGGAAATACAAATTAAAACTACAATGAGATTACTACCCATACCTGCTCAGAATGGCTCACATTAACAACTCCAGGCAACAACAGATGTTAGTGTGAGGATGTGGAGAAGAGGACTTTTGCACTGTTGGTGTAATGCAAGCTGGTGCACAATTTGAAAATAGTATGGAGGCGTTTTCAAAAACTAAAACAGAACTACCCTATGACCCAGCAATTGCACTGCTAGGCATTTATCCAAGGGATACAGGTATGCTGTTTCAAAGGGACACAAGCACCCCCATGTTTATAGCAGCACTATCCATAATAACCAAAGTATGGAAAGAGCTCAAATGTCCATCGATGGATGAATGTGGTATATATATACAATGAAGTATTACTCAGCAATCAAAAAGAATGAAATCTTGCCAAACTATGTGGATGGAACTGAGGGTATTATGTTAAGTGAAATTAGTCAGAGAAAGACAAAAAATCAGGGTGACTTCACCATAAGGAGGACTTTAAGAGACAAAACAGATGAACATAAGGGAAGGGAAACAAAAATAATATAAAAACAGGGAGGGGGACAAAAGAGACTCATAA